CCTACTCTTGTGTACTATGCCATGTATTGGCCACTTAGTTTCCTTGCCCCTGGTCTTGTATACTATACTTTGGAAAGGCCTTGTATGGGAAGCCCATCATGCCTGAACAGGGCAGTTAGACAAAAGGGAGGAAGGGAAAGGCACCTAGTAGGGGGCCCTGGGGGTGCTGTGTTGAACTAGACATTCAGAGCACCTGGCAGACCTGAGTGGGGTCCCCTGCTGAAAGCCCGCCGTACCCCAGGCTTTTCTTTTTATCTGGGAATCAGGGATATTAAATGCACTCTTCTCCCTTCCCTTCTCTTCTGAGTGTCTCAGGCCTTCTAATGTCTGGCAGTATAGCCTACCTTATTCCTGGTGTCCTTCGAGTTGGGACAGTACTCTTGTTCGCTATTTATTTATTTAAGAAAGAGAAAGAGAGAGAGAGAGAGATTGGTCCCATGTGCAGGTTCTTTTTCCCAAATACCCTTAGTTGTCTGGATTGGGCCAAGTCCAAAATTGAGAGCCAGGAACTCAATCCAGGTCTCCCATGTGAGGCAGGAACCTAGTCCCTTGCATCATCACCAGTACCTCCCAGGGTCTGCATTATCAGGAAGACAGGACAGGAGCTGGAGGTGAGGATTGGACCCGGGCACTCTGACAGGAGGTATGCGTATCTTCACTGCTAGCCAAAAGGTCTGTCCCTTTGGTACTTAATTTATTGTCCGCAGCAACACTATAAAGTCGTTAGATGTCCTAGGACAACTTGTAACACAAGTTATTATCAGCTGAGGCACAAAATGCCTTTTTTGTTTGAGCAAGGAAGGTTTTAGAAAGAACACTTGACTAAGAAGCAGAAGATTGGAGACTTGGATTTTGAAAATCGATAACATCAACAAAAATTCTTTTGTGCCAGGCACCGTGGTAAGCGCTTTATATAGATGATCTCATCAACTTCACACCAGCCAAAATGACTCCCAGGCTGATAACCTGCATTGCTCTGGCAGATAGTTGCTTGCTCCAGGCCATGTAGCCAGTACGTTCCCAAATACTTAGTGTGTCCTAAGGGTCAGGTATGCATGAGTGTCTTCAGCAATTTTTCTGAACCCATTTCACAGTTGAGGAGGCTGAGACTGAAGGCTGTGTTTGTCTTCCCCCATCTTCTGGGGTTTCCTTTTGCCCTTATGTGGAGGGCTAGTCAAAGGCCTCTTGGCTGGAAAGGACCTCACAATCCAATGAAACAGAATGAGGACCTGGGAAGATTGTCAAGTCAGGCTCTGTTGTCCAAGGAGACTTGAGATACTGGGTTGCATCTGGGACAGCTGTGAGGCATGTGGAGCTCAAGGGAAAGGGCACAGAACTAACTCTGGGAATGGGCAGCTGAGACAGCAAGCCCACCCTTTTAGTTTTGCCAGCTGCCTGGGGCTGATGCTCACTGACAGCCCGCAGGGTTATGCACAGCTCGGTACCCACACTACCGAGTGGAGTCATAAGCAGAATTTGTGATTCAACTCATTTGGCCGTGAAGTAGTTCCATGTCCCCCACCCCCCGGAACCCTTTATGTACAGCCGTCTGCGACATTGAAATCCCACTACCTTTGCTGGATTCACAGAGCCTCCTGTCTTGGCTGGCAGGCACCCAGCCAGAGCTCTGCGGCGATCTGCCCAGGCAGGCTGCAAAGCTCTTTGTTGCTCTGGGCGTGTTTAACAGCTTAATTTCTGTGTTTCTCTGGGAAATGCAGTTGCCCGGTTCTGAGACAGCAGTGGGTGCTCAAATGGTTTCTGATTGCTATCTTGAATGTTAATATCCTAATACATTTTATCGTCGATGACCTGTCCGCCCAGCCCCAAGCTCTCGCTCCCCTGCTGCAGAGATAGGCTTGCTGCCTGGCTTGGATAGGCCTCGCTGCCTGGCTCATTCCCTTGCTGTCTTCCTCCTGCTTTTCACAGATAGCATTGTACTCGGCCAGTGAAGTCCGCAGTCGTGGGAAATCTTTGACTTGGAGGCTATGAGGAAGCGTTTCATTTTGCCAGCGGGGTTTTGTAGGGATGATCTAATCTCTAAAAGGCATACGTGATTTAAATTCCATGCTTTGGGGGCAAGAGGGCCCCTGATAGTTTTGAACTTTGGCAGGGATGGGATTCTGGTTTGGCTCTGTTCAGTAGAGCCAACTCTTGGCTTTCCTGCTTTTAATTGCTTGCAGGGCTGGGTCAGACTTGTGGTGTGGGCCAGTCCTAGAGTGGAAAGCTCTGGAGAGCATTTTTTTTTTAAATCCAGAAATTTAAAATCATGGACTCTAGAGGCAGAAGGGATAAGGAGAGTCATGTCATGGAGTGAGCCACTTGTTACTTGGTTCCTGTCTGTTTTCCAAACTTAAGATTCCCAAACTTGGGGGGGGGGTGAGGGGAGAGGCTCCTCTGGGGTCCTGGGGAGCAATGCAGGTCTGATCCCTGTACCCCATCTCCTGAGTGCTGATGGAGACCCTGCGTATCTTCCAGTGGCCTTCCCTGGGAGGCACCAAAGATGCCTTTTGAGGGAAACCTTATGTGCCCGGCCCTTAAAGGCTGAGTCTAGACATGAAGTGGCGCTCACTCATTAGTGGCTCTAGAAGTGGGGTCATATGTTGAGGGAGATGCTGGAAGGGGCTGGAGAGCTTTGGTCCTCCTGGAAGTGTCTTTGCCATCTAAGGAGTGTGTGATGCTTATAATGGCACTCCCTCATCATCCTCTTCCTCCCTGCTAGTTTGTAGTGCTATTTTAGCATGGATCACTTGCTTGCCTTTCTTCTTGGGGGACCAAGCTGCACTTGGAGGGGTGAGTGATCCCGGAATAGTTTCTGAAAGTTCTGCACATGACACCTTCTCCCACCTCCACAAATCTGTGTTGAATGCTTCCTGGCTTGTAAAAAGTGAGCCAAGAGTCCAGATTTAAATGTGGTTTGTATAGTAGGAGAATGAGAATCGTGGACAGTATGGTATGTACAGCTGAGTAGATGCCATGGGTATGACTTATCTTGTATGCTCTGGAAATATGGGAGCAGGGCAAGCATCCCAAAGAAGAGTCCTTCCAAAGAAGAGGTTGTAACTAACCTTGGCCTTGAAGGAGGCTGTGTCCACCAGACTGACTCTTCACAAGTGTTAGTTGTTAAATGTGTGTCTGTCTGTTCTTTGCTGGGGACAAGGGAAAAGGACCTGAGAGGATGACGATCCCTGCTTTTAAGATATCCACAGGGTGCCCAGTGCAATTGCTTAGTGGCTAAAGTCCTTGCCTTGCATGCACCAGGATCCAATATGGACACATGTTCTAATCCCAGCAGCTCCGCTTCCATTCCCACAAGCTCCCTGCTTGTGGCCTGAGAAGGCAGTCCAGGATGACCCAAAGCCTTGGGACCCTATGCCCACATGGGAGACCTGGAAGAGCTCCTGGCTCCTGGGCTTCAGCTTGGCTCAGCTCTGACCATTGAGACCACTTGCGGAGTGAATCATCAGATAGAAAAGCTTCTCTGTCTCTCTTCCTCTCTATATATCTGGCTTTCCAATGAAAATAAATACATCCTTTTTAAAAGTCCGCAGTTTTCTGGGGGTGGGGGTGTGGACAAAAGCTTGTGAATTTATGAATGTTCCGTGTTGACAGCTGGAGGCAGGGAAAGCTAGCAGGGGTACTTAGTCATCCAGGATCTTGGTCAGAGAGGACACAGTTTCTGTAGAGATAGTTCGGATGCTGCACAGATGCCTCAACTTCTAGTTGCCAGAGCTGGTCTGTGAGTTTTCTACAATTGGAGAAAACAAGGCTTTCAACAGCCTGGTTCTGTAGAATTGGATTCCACTGGGCTTGCAATGGGGAGGGAGGAAGTCAGAGAGGAAAGAGGGCTAGCGTCCCGCCCAGAGCAGTGCTGGCTCTGCCTCCATCATCTGAAAAAAAAAGGTGGGGTTTTGCAGAACACTTGTGCAGGCAGCCTACAGTGTCAGTGGCAGTCCCAGCATGATGCAGGAGCCCCACATATTGCCAGCGGTGTGTAGGTTGTTTCTTGTAGCTTGAATGCCTTTTTCTCTCTTAGCACCAATTTCAAGCTCTTGAGATATTTCATCAGTTGTTTTCTGCCCCTCATCGTTAACCTTGCTTCAGTGTGGTTCTCTGTTTTTAACTTCCCTATGAGGTTGTAAACACCTTAAGAACAAGGGTGGTTTTTAATACTTCTCTTGTTCCCCTGGTAGCTGTTTGTGCAGTTCAACACACATGGGTTTCTTTAGGATAGTCTTTGCATTGAACTTTGGGCATGGTTTTCTTATCTGTTAAATCGATCACATAAGGGCTTTATGTTTTTGTTTAATTTTTGTTTAATTTGAAAGGCAGAGAGATATAGATACAGTAGATGAACAGACTTTCCATCAGCTAGTTCACTCTCCAAATGTGTGGAACAGGCGACACTGGGACAAGCTAAAGTTGAGAGCTGGGAATTCAATCTGGATTTCCTGCATGGATGGCAGTGGCTCAAGCACTTGAGCTGTCAACAGCTGCTGCCACCAAGGGTATGCATTAGCAGGAAGATGGAATAGAGAGTAGAGCTGGGCCCAGAACCCAGGCACTGTATGGCATGTGGGTGTCACAAGTTGTGTCTTTATCACACAGGATTTCTAGAACTGTGATACCATTGACATTTTGGGTTGGATGACTGTTATAGGAACTGTGCTGTGCAAGGTTTAACCATGTCCTTTGCCTCTGCCTATTGTGCGTACTCTGTCCAGTCATATTAATTAAAAATACATTTGGATGTTTATCAAGTGTCTCCTGTGGAACAAAGCTATTCTTTGCTGCTAATCGTGGGCTGTGCCTCACACTTCCCAGGACTGCAGTAGGAACACCGTAGGCAGGCTCTGGCCTCATTCCTGATTCACCTAGCATTTGATGTTGGTGAATTTCATGGAGCTGAGTCTTAAGTTGTAGCCGTTTGGGGTAGAAATGTGGGACTTTCCAGTTGCCCATATGATGCACTAACAGAATCACTGTCATTTTCTCAATTGCAGATTGATCTGGAGCCAGAAGGAAAAGTCTATGTGATCATCGATCTTTCAGGGTCATCAGGTGAAGGTAGGAGGATGTGATCTCTCGTTCTTGTTGTCTTTGTCTTCCAGGTCTCTCCCATCTCTGCTTGGCTGGGATGTATTACAGTGACATTTAATTAATTGGCAAGCCTTAAAGGAAAAGGTTATTTTGAAGATGCTTACGCCTGTGTACCAAAAGAGACTAGCCATCTGTTAACGTTGGTGAAGCAGAGGGAAGATTGGTGACTTACTAAGTGAGGCCAATAAAACAGGCGTTTTGGCATGCTGTGTGCATGGCGGACTTGGGCACAGTAGCAGCCTCTCCTGGGGACGGTGTGTGTGTGTGTGTCTGTGTGTGTGTGTTGGGCGTGGGCGGTTGGGGGGTAGAGTGCTTGGTGCACTGCAGAAAGGAAGTAAAACAGTTTGGTCTAACGGTGCTCAGAAATGAAACAGCAAAGGTGTTAAACATCAGGATCTTGCTTCTTTGGAGCTGTGTAGAAGTGCTGCTTCTCGCACAGCTCTCTATTCAGCATGAGCTGTGCTCTTAAAGAGACATTATCGGGGTGAGGGAACACCTGCTCCTCACTGGCTGGTTAGATGGTGTAAGATTTTCTCTGAGACTTGGATTTGCCTTCTCTCTTCTTAAACTGTCTTCTTTTGATCCTGCCTTTGCTCACTTAATACCTCTTAAGGATTTTTTTTTTTTGGCGGTGAGGACTGAGCAGTCAGGGTAAAAGAAGACTAGAAAATAAAACCTTGTCCAAACAGGAATAAGGTGATGGCAGGAGACTCTGGAGAAGGTTGGGAATTAGGGCTTGAAATTTAATTATTGGGACAATCTTTCCTTGCCACCCCCTCACTTTGTCTTTCTCTTTCAGTAGGAGGACCAACAGTTGGCTTTAATGGCATGGTAGAGAGGTAGGGAGACCACAGCTGGTTACTCTGGCAATGAGAAAAAACAAACAAAGAAACAAATAAAAAAAAAACCCTGGGTTTGGGAGCAGCTTCCCGAGGGGAAAGGAAGATGTACACTCTGCTCTCCTGGATGGAACATTTGAGTCTTTTATAAAATCTTCCCAGAATACGAGGATCCCAAACCCAGAATTGCAGCCTCCCATAGAATCTCTTGTTAAAGGATGTGAAGAGAGATTGTGAAAGCAAATTCAAAGGTGTTGTCAGGTAATGCACTTGAGTGTGGTGCCTGATTATTTTCACTGAGCTAATGGATCACCCACTCTCCATAGGGGGTTGGAAGAATACTAGTGCATCATACAATGCATGCCTCTTATGCCTCTTAGAACAGATTTCTGTGACTTGGTATAGGGTTAAAACTTTAAACACCCTCCCTGAATTGGTTGCTTACATTTTATGCTCTCTATTGCAATTTCCATTTTGGCATTCCCAACTCCTCTTCTCTGCTCTCAACTCTAAACAGCCGAGAATAGCATTGGTTGTAGAAGACTTGAGGATTTGAACAATATTTGGTATGAAGAACATAAGACCTACAAAAGGACCCAAGAAAAATAAAAGGAGAGCCAGTGTACCCACTACCTGGATCAGGAAATATAATCACCAAAAAGGTGCAGTCTCATAGCAGCTTCCAGCTCCACATGTGTTTCAGATGTGGCATGCTTCAGGTTTTACATGGCCTCCTGATTGTAGACACTGGTGAAACAGCTGAAGGCAAAAGGAGCCCCCATTTTCCTTCCACACTCTCTATGCAGAATGATAATTAATTGAATATGTGTTTCCTGTGCCAAGATGCAGGCAACCAGCAATGGGCTTAGATTATTCTCGTTTCTGTTGAAAAGATAAATGACTTGAAAAATTACAGAAGGCACCTCCTTTTACATTAGAGGAAAAAGAGATGGACAAATGAATGAATGAAGAAATCAGAAGCAATTGATTTTTTTTTCTTCTTGCTGCTATGGCTTATTGCATGTGAACAGCCCAAGCTATTTCCATCAGGCCAAATTCTGAGTCTCTTTTTTGTTTTGTTTTGTTTTAAATCTCTTTCATCTAAAGAAAATAGAGTTTACTTCAGAAATTCTGACACATGCCAGAGTTGGCAAGTGCTAACACATGTTGCTCTGCGGAAAGGCAGGCATCTTTTCTTTTTTTTTTTTAAAGATTTATTTTTATTATTTTTTCATTGGAAAGGCGGATATACAGAGAGAGGAGAGACAGAGAGGAAGATCTTCCGTCCGATGATTCACTCCCCAAGTGAGCGCAACGGGCCGATACTATGCCGATCCGAAGCCAGGAGCCTCTTCCGGGTCTCCCACGCGGGTGCAGGGTCCCAAAGCCTTGGGCCGTCCTCGACTGCCTTCCCAGGCCACAGGCAGGGAGCTGGAAGGGAAGCGGGGCTGCCGGGATTAGAACCGGCGCCCATATGGGATCCCGGGCGTGCTAGGCGAGGACCTTTAACCACTTGCGCCACCACGCCGGGCCCAGGCATCTTTTCATTCCATTTCTTGCTCCTCCGGTCTTGGGACCCTTTCTGTCGGTGGTGGGGAGGACTTTGAATAGTTCCTCCTGGAGGCTGATCTTGTGTTTTCTTTGAGTGGGGCAAACACTCCTGAGCCTGTACTGTAGAACTTCTGGTTCAGAAGTGGTTTGGGTTTTGGAAGGGTTGGAAGGTGAAGAGAAGTCCCTGGAAAGTGTGAAAACCCAACCCCAGCCTCCTGGCCAGTGTGGGAAATATCTGGGGTGAAGCAGGTGACAGAGCAACTCTATTGGATTTGTAGACTGTGAACATTCATACATTCTTGTTGAAGTCCCTTTCCTGAGTGAATGTAGCCGATTCTGAATTCTGTGAAAGGATGGAAAGAGAGTAGAAATAAGGCCTAACTGAAGCCTCACCACTCTCCTTGCTATCTAGCATCTCTTCAATTCCTTCTACATCAAATGCCCCAGCTTCATCAGTGGTAAAGATATATTCATGAAATCGTACAAACTAAAACACATGCAAATTCTGAGGAACTCAGGGAAAGGTGTGGGGGTGAGATAGCGTGAAAACACTGCCTTCTTCTAGGAGTGCCAACAGATTCTATCTTTTCCTGACATACTATTAGCAAGCTTGGGCGTTGACGTCTGCTAAAGTGAGAACTAATGCGATTTTTAGCTATCTAATACAATTCCAAGGCTTGCATGTCCTGTGCAGGTCACCATAATGGGATTTGACTGGTATATGCTTTTGCTAAACCAGGCAACCTAACCCCAGACACACGGGTCACATTGGATAACAGTTAAGGCCATTTCTGGTCATGGGATCTTGTCTTCATGCATAATCTGTGTAGATATATGGTGCAACTCACAGCCAAGGACTGGATAATATCTATAGTAAGTAGAAATAAATGGAATTTCTGACAGGCTTGATGCAGATATGATCAACATTATCCCAAGTAGCAAATCTCCTGGAAATATTCCAATGGGAGCGTCCAATTTCTCAGTGTTTAGTGTTTTGCTACTATCATCACAATAGTTCCTGGTAAGCAAAAGGTGACCCTGCAGGCTGGCTGTGTACTTACAACATAATCCTTCCAGGTAACAGAAGCAAAGCTAGTGGTATTGAAGTGTGAAACTGAGTGTAATGTAGTATTATTTCTTCCTTTGCTATAGCATTATTTATAATTCTCATTCTTTTTAACAAGCCAGCAATATACCATCATTCACGGGTGTCCTGGGGAGGAAGGATGAGGGCCTGACCTGGGGAGTTACAGGACCCTCCTCCCTTTCCTTTCATGCAGGTGTAGTGCTCATCCAGAGAGTTCTGCAGTCAGTCATCTTAGATCCCAAAACTAACTGACAGAAAGCACTGGAGAGTAAAATAGGGCACTGTCATGAAGGGTGTTCAGTGCTATTAAAAGTTCCTGGGGCCCACGTTGTAGTGTTACAGTAGGTTAACCTGCTGCTTGCCACATGGGCATCCCATACGGGCACCGGATCAAGTCCCAGCTATTCCAGTGTCAACTCCCTGCTAATAGCCTGGAAAATGCAGTGGAAGGTAACTCAAGTGTTTGGGCCCCTGCATCCACGTGGGAGACCTGGAGAAATTCTTGACTCCTGGCATTGGCCTGGTCTATTCCTGTCCATTGTAGCCATCTGAAGGGCTAACCTAGCAGATTGAAGATCCCTCCCTCCCTCTCTTTGTAATTCTTTCAGATTTTTAAATTCCATTGAGAATAAATTGAGATTGGAATAACTCAGGAAAATCCAAGAAAGAGGCATAGCATGGTCTGGCAAGGGAGGGATGGGCAATCTGGATTCATAAAACAGTCAAGAGGCCATGGTGAGTAGAGAACTTCATGTTGCCATTGTCAAAAGACAGATTCGAAGTTCTTATTTTAGGTATGGTTGGAAGACAGGATAAGCTAAAGAGATGCAGTGTGTGTGTCCCCAAGGAGCACACAACAAGCATGAGCATTGGGGTTGTAAGCAGAAGTGTTTGTGCTGTGCAGATAGGAAGATGAAATGCCTGAAATCTGAATCTGTGTGAGAAGTGTGAAGCAGAGCCTCTGGGTGTGACTTCACAGTCACGGCTTCTTACCCAGACGCTTAAGGAGCAGCAGTGTTCTAGGCTACATTTGGTTAAACCCAAGGTGCAGGGTGGAGTCCATCTTACAGTGCCATTGCTTATCCATTCAGAAGGACAGGCCCACATGCAGACCTTTTGTGGTGTTTGTGTGTGTGTGACACACATAAACACACATATATACGTAACCTAAAAATTCAAGCTGGAAACTTTTAGGCTTTCTCTCCTTAAGTTCTGCTCAGCCTCTTTTAAGAGAGAGAGGTAATGAGAGCCTCCGGTTCCCTGACTTTGAAGCCAGTCTCCAGCTCAAAGTGTTGACCTATCTCCCTGCAGTGAGGTACCTTAGGCAATAAGGTTCCGGCTGTGTTCATTTGAGAAGCTCCACCCACAAACTTGAATGGGCATGTCACTTCCTTCAGTAGGACCTGGAGTCTGGACAACAATAAAATAACATGGTCCAGATGTCCTGAAATGTTGCTGTTTTAATACACACTTCCCACATTACCCACCCT